TCTGTACATATAGACAGCAGTGTCACATACTAGTGATACACATGTAGCACCTTCTCCATTTCCACAATTATTTTATGTGATAAGACGAAGTAAGATAACGGAGCAGTTATGTACCTCTCCGAGTACAGGCCTGTTCAAAAGTAATCCAGGGTGATTCCGAGCCACCTACGCCCAAGAGAAGGACAAACATTAAATCCTTCACGTATTTTTGGTGGTTCAATTCGCTGTGTATTACTGCCAGAAATTGGTGTCTTACTGGAGAACTTAAACCATTAAACCATGACAATAACACATGGGATTCACGTAACTGTTCTGTTACATACACCATATATATATATATATATATATATATATATATATATATATATATATATATATGTGTGTGTGTGTGTGTGTGTGTGTGTGTGTATTAGTTACCAGAGAGATTGGGAAGTCCCAAGGAATAAAATAAAATATCGTATTCAAACTGATGGCCCCTGAAGAGTGGATCGAATGCAAAAAGGTTCGTCTACGAAACTGTGGAGTCGAAGTGCTGAATATAACATCAATGAGCTAAGTGACAAATTTTATATGTATTAATCCTACACGCACACACACACATACGCATATTATTATGCACAAACAGGTACACACACATATGCATATAGTATATATTCTATGAACCAGTAGGTAGATGTGGAAAATAGGTATATATATATATATATATATATATATATATATATATATATATATATATATATATATATATATATATATATTACTCTACCTACTGGAATATATGCTCATAAGTAGTTCCGAAGGTAAGAAAGAGCACACACATACACCTACACACGCGCCCTCACGCGGACGCACACATATATACACACACATGTACTGAAATATATATATATATATATATATATATATATATATATATATATATATATATATATATATATCACAATAAAAAATAACACGAAGCCATAAACTGGTGCATGAAGACGCATTACTTGAACGCAACCAATATGGCATCCACCTGCGCTTGAAGATGCGACACTCAAAAATGATTCTATCAACACACACACACACACACACACACACACACACACACACACACACACACACACACACACACAGAGAGACACGCACCTACACACAATTCCCCCATTAAACCAACAAAATCATTTCAACAAAATTTCCATTAATAAGACGTGATTTATGCTAAACATATGAATAACTGATTTCTTTCACTTTTACTGAATTGTTATATAGATTTGATTATAACACATTACAGCTCATAGTTTTATTTATTGATTTTACTTATCGCATATTGTTTCAATTTATTAAGGACAAGCGAATATAATAAAATAAGCTCGTCGTATATTTATCTTAGGCTACTCGTACATCATAGCATCTTTTCCCAGATAAGAGAAAACATGGCATATTCGAATGTCTATAATGATACTACTTTATGTGCCATGTCCTCTGAGGACGTAGGCGATCATGGCTCTCCACAACATCCTGTCCCTTGTAGCTCTTAATAAACTTTATCTTTCTGTTATTTCTCCTAGACCCTGTTCCGTCATACATCTACTCAAGCTCACTAAGTATATTATGCGTTGTTTTCCTCTGTCCATCTTGCCCTGTATCTGCCCCGTGAGTATCAAATATTCCAGGCCCTCTCTCCTCATTATGTGCCCTAGAAACCTTAATTGTCTCTTCCCGATGTTAAGTATTAGTTTCTTTTTTGTTTTCATTTTCTCGAAAACTTCGCCGTTGTTCACATGTTCGCTATCCTCAGCATCCTTCTGCAAAAACATATTTCTATTGCTTCTCTTCATCTTTGAGGAGATCGTCCAGAACTCACTGCTATACAGGAGGGCAGATATCACGTAGCAGTTTAGTACATTTTTTTTTCCTAGCGAAATTTTTCTATTTATTAGTATTCTGTTTCGCTTTTAGAATGCTTCCTTGGTTATTCCAATACGCGTTCGAATTTCAGTGTCAAAGTAGAAATCAGGCGTTTATATGTTTAATGTGATTTTGTTGAAGTAAATTTTCTTTTTTGACGATGCCGATTCATCAGCGAAGAATATGAAAAACAGACATTCTCCAAATGATGCTATATATTTAATATTCCATCCAACTTTTACATATATCTATATACTTTTAGAAAGCATTCTTTAATCCGATTTAATTTTTTTCCCTATAAGCATTATTTTTAGTGTGTACACCTTTTTGAGTTTACATTCCTGTTAATTTAAACAGTGAAGCTAATGTCAACCTAAAATGTACCTCCCGACACTTATTGAACCTAGTATCCTTTTTTCCACAGGAAATCATGATAATACTATTCATTTACCCACTTAAGGAATGTGCATCTATCGTTGGGAATCCTCGAAGTCTATATATTTATTTTGTTCCTGAAAAGTAAACAAAGTAATCATTAAATTCATTTTTTCTTATTACGATAAACGTTATTTTTAGTCAGTACATGTTTCAATTGACATATCTCGTATTTTAAACAGTAAAATTAAAATCAAACAGCGTAGGAATTAAGAAGTTCTTACAAAAAAAATCTGCAAGTCGACAGTAATCGAACCTTTCTCGAGGCCTAATTAGAAGGGCTAATTTCGGCTAAAGGTGTGGTTTCTCTGATGAAAAAGGTAATAAAGGTTCTTGTTTTGTCACGAGGTAATTTTTACTTTCAGAATTACATCAGAAAGAGTAGTAAAAATGCAACCGTTTGTATGCCTTTATTTTATAGATTAGGTAAACGAATTTGATAAAGAACATCACAAAGAACTTTTAGAACTGCTTGGGTGACTTTGGGAAAGATATTAGGACAATCCAAAAAAATATACTGGGTGCTAACCGTCTGCATACGAATAGAAAATGAATTCAGTAAATGTAAAAAAAGAAGAAAGGGTTGTGAGACAAGGATGTGTCTTCTCACCGGACATAACCTATATAGTGTAGCGATTCTGAGGGAATTAGAAAGGCACGGTGAAGTAGAGGATAGTGGTTCGGATTGAGGAATCGGAGAGCCGAGTTTGAATTCCAGTTGAGTCCATTACATTCACTTACGTGCTAATACCCTTCTCCCCCCAGCTATGGGTAAATAGCAGGACAGACCGAGTTCTATAGCCTTGGATGAAAAGTGGTCTACCGCAGAAAGAAATGGCATCCTACTACAGGAAAAAAAAATCTGCCACGTCAGTCATGTATCGAAAGATCGTCTAAGCGTGTATCACGCATGGCACATAACTGACTGAAAAGGATTCATTATTAGCCGCTACAATCATTGCAACATGAAATATGCAGATGCAGTGCTGATAACAGACACAGAGACGATACTATAAGCACTCCGACATAAGTTAGCGAAGGAAAGCAAGAAGAAAGGACTAAACATTAATTGCAAAAAAAAAAAAGAAGAAAAAAAAACAAACAAACAAAAAAGAATGCACAGTTGTCAGGAAAAGGAAAACCCAACAAACAAATTACAAAATCGAGATACGAAAATCAAACAGTTTCAACAATTTAAATATCTGGGAAGTATTTTAACAGAAGATGGAGAGTGCGACATCAGAATCCGAAGGCTCGCTGGGATAGAAAACACAGAAAATAGTACTGAACTGTTACGTAATAACAGTCCTTCTCTATGACAGTGAATTCTGCAAATCTTACAGATGAAGAAGAGACTTGAGGCAACAGGGATGTGGTTCTACAGAAGGATAGTGAGAATATGATAGACCGAACATCTGAGCAACAGCGAAATTTTAGAGAAAATGGAAAATAAGGACATTAATATTTAACATCAGAAAGAGACAGTTCGCATTTCTAGTGCACGTAATAAAAAAAAAGGGCTTAGAAAATATGATACTCACATTACAGATTAGAGGCAAGAGGGTCAGAGGAAAACGACGCATAACCTACCTAACGAATTTGTGTAAATAGATGACAGAAAAGGTTTTAGGAGAGATAAAAAAAGATTCTGATTCAAGCCTTCGTATTCTTTAATAAGTGTAATTCCTTTTCCTAGAGAAAAGAAAATTAGTTTATCCTACTATTTAACTCATAGCTGGAGGAAGATGAAATGATACCTTTTCCAGGGTTATTAGCGTAAAGAGGACGAAATAGAATCGAACTGGAACTCTACTCTGGGCGCCGAATTCATTTCCCACAACGTTAAGCCCTGCACTAACGGTAACCACAAGATCATAAATATGACAAGTTATATTGTGATTTCCATTGTTGATTAGATAAGACAATTTTCATGTGGCTTTTATAATTAGTTCTGACTATTTTCAGTATTTTGTCCCGTTATCAATCGTAAAATTGCATTTCAGGCACACACTATTTATTAAACTAAAGCTCCCAGATAAGCATATATTTGCTCCGGAGTGCCCTTAGTGACTTTTAGTGCAGTTTTCACTGGATGTTTACAACTCGAAGACTAAAAAAAAACAAAACCAAAAAAAAAACAAAACAACAAACAAAAAAACAGAGAGCAATTTTGAAAAACTGGGAGACACGCTGATAAAGGGGTGTGACATTTTTAAAAGTATCTGTGATATTTGAATTATAAAACGAGAAGATAGAGCGAATTTTCGGTTAAATACGATAACGAGATAAACCAAAGAGAAAAATAAAATGATTCATCATATTTTCACTCAGTGGAAAATTAGTAAACAAATGATATCAGAAAATATATATAGCGATTTCAATTCATACATACCGATTTCTTAATACCTATAAACGTAATTTTTAGTAGATATACGTGTTTCTGTTAAATATCCTAGTTATTTTAAACAGTGAAATTATCGTCTACCTGTATAGAACTTTCTCTTCTTTTTCTTCTTCTACTTATTCTTCTACTACTACTACTAGTACTACTACTATTATTATTATTATTATATCACGTGTGATTTTCTGCATATTTAGGTATGACACCAGAATAGTAGATAGGAGGCGGCTAGGAGCAAGATGCAGTTGTTACTTGAGACTTGTCCGCCATGACTTACAGCCATAACACATTGAAACAGCGGTTCTCGTACGATCACCGAAGTTAAGAAACGTTGAACCTGGTCTGTACCTAGATGGGTGAGCGCTTGGGAATACCAGGTACTGTAAGCTTGGATGTGCGAGTGGTGTAATGGATAACAGCTCGGAATTGGAAATCGGAGAGCCGAGTTCGAATTCCATTCGAGTTCGTTATATTCACTTAAGCGCAAATAATCTTGGGAAATGTCCGAATCCACTTTTTCTTCCCCCCAAGTATGGGTTAATTACTTTGAACCTCTCTAAGCGTATCTAAAAGCCTTCCTTTTTTTCTATGTGCCTTCAGGACGTTGGCGATCATAGAATTTTCCATAATTTTCTTGTCTTTTGTAGCTCTTAAGAACCATTTTGTCTTTTTGTTATCTCTCCTAAACCCTGTTCTCTCATCCATCTATTCAAACTCGTTACGTAGGTTATGCGTTGTTTTCCTCTTGCCTTTAATCTGTTCTGTGGGTATCAAAATTTTCCAAGCCCTTTTTCTTTATTTCAACTGTACCTTTCTGATGTTAAGTATAAGTATCCTTTTTGTTTGAATTTTCTCTAAAATTTCGTTGTTGCTATGTTCGGTCCGTGGTCTTCTTTTTCGTTTAATGTATAGTGTTTTACTTTTCCTTCCCAAAAGTCATGCTTTGTTGATGATGGTATTGGAAAACAATCCTATACACTGATTTCTTCAAGAGGTTATTCGAATAAAGATCATATGAAAGCTGTAATAGAAGTGCATAATAATCCATAAGGATAGCGTAAGACGGCACCAAATTTATATACCGCTGTAAGACTACAAAGATAAAATGGAATAGTTCTTTTCAGAGGAAGATAAAATGTTCTGAAATTATGCAAATATTAGGTTCACTTTTAGAAGGCAGTAGATAGTGGAACAAAACGGTGAATATATTATGCAATGAAGTTAATGTAAAAAGAAACGGTCATATATTCTTACCGACCGGACTATTTTGCTTATCTCATATATTATACGACCGAGCGTCCGCGCGTACTAAACTTATTCAAACTTCAGGCCAGATTATGCGCGCTCTCCCAAAATAAAATGTTAATCAGATCAGCTCAGTTCAGCAGAGTTACAGTATAAACCACAGGTTAGCAGTGTGGGCGTTGTAGAAACATAAATGCAGTGTATCTGAGCGTGTAGGTGTAACAGGGATTAGTAGCTATCATACAAGTATAGTCGGAAAACAAGTATCTAGCCATTATATATATATATATATATATATATATATATGTTTATTTATTTAATTTAGGATATTAAAACAACATGTAAAAATCATTACACAATTTCAGTCGTGTTTCGACACATATCAATACCTCTCCTCAGGCGATTATAAATTACTGGCGTGGGAACAATTAACTTGGGAGCTTTACCTTGATCAACCAATCGAATATGACTTATGTTCAAGTCAAACTAAGCGAAACCAATTCGTGCTCATCTTACCTGGATATATATATATATATATATATATATATATATATATATATATATATATATGAAGAAACCGCAAAAAGATACAAAAAGAATTACAGAAAAGTTCATATTCGAAACTCCATGCGCTGATTATAAAATCAATCATCTAAGTGATATTATTTATTCTTATTAATCTAATATATATATATATATATATATATATATATATATATATATATATGAAGAAACAATTTTAAGGCGTGATATATTTATGGGTTAAAGTGCTCAATATCAGACATAGATCGTATGTAAATATAAATGTGAACATTGAAGTCAACACTTAGAGGTGACATACTGTTTCATGCTAAACGCAATCACCATGTTCACTTATATATATATAATCAGCATGTTCACTTATTATATATATAATCAGCATGTTCACTATATATATATATATATATATATATATATATATATAAATTTGAAATAATTAGATTTAAAAATAAGACTGATTTCTTAAATCAAAGATATGAACTAACTGTTAATTGTAAACATCGTTATAAATTTAACTTATTATAGGGGTCGTATACTATATAAATTTAATTTATTATAGGAGTCGTATACTTTATAAATTTAACTTATTATAGGGGTCGCATACTTTCAATGATAATGTCACTGTAAGTTTAATAGATTATTACTTTTATAACCTGATGGTCATCCTTGACGATATGAATGTGTATTGTGTACCTACATAGTGTTATTCGTGTCTGTGTATGTGCGTATGTATTTGTGTGTATCTGTGTGTGTGTTTGTACTGCTGGATGTGTATGTGTGTATATAAGTGTATATATATGTTAGTAGGTTTTATATATATATATAAAGAAGGTAAGAAGTAAGGAGGTAAAAAGTAGAAGAAGAGAAGAGGTTAAAAATATTGTTGTATATATATATATATATATATATATATATATATATATATATATATATGTCCAGTTATATTGTGTATCTATATTTATTTTTACGTATATTTCTGTATGCATGAATATGTTTATGTATGTATGTTAGGATACATATATATGGGTGTGTGTGTATATGGATATATGTTTATGTATGTATATGTATGAACGTTTATGTATGTATATGATTGAATGCCTGTGTATTTATGTGTATGCACGTATATATCTGTACTTGTTATTATATATATATATATATGTGTGTGTGTGTATGTGTGTGGGTGTATATGTGTGTGTTGACACCTATCATATGTGAGATTAAGTGTATGTGTAGGTATGTAAACATTGGTTTGTGTCTACTGCCACTTGTGTAAGTCTATGTGTGTATATATGTATATGTATGTGTATTTGTGTGTGTGTATATGTATATATATGTATATATGAGTGTGTGTATATGTGTATATATATGTGTATATGTATTTATATTTATATGTGTATATGTGTGTATATATGTATATATATATGTGTGTATTTATATGTATATGCGTGGATAGGAGAGTACTTATATATGTGTATATGTGGATGTGTCGATACGGGTATTTATACATGATTAGATATTTGTATATGTGGATGTATGTTCCTATGTCCTAGTATATGTATATGTATGTATATGTTAGTGTCTTGCAACGCATCATCGATACTAACTAAAATCTACTTGTAAAAATACAATAACTAAGCTCTGCAAAATGGAGGAGAGAGTTATCAATGATAATGTTCTTACTTTGAATCTGCAGTTATCTACCTTTAAGCCTCTATTAAGAGATTATAGGGTTATTGTTGTTTTGATAGGGATTTTTTAATAGCTTATAGACTTAATCAACAACCGTGTGTGGTTAATTTTTAAAAAATTATTATGAACTTTTACTTTATTTTATCGTCAATAAGATAATGTTGTTAGAATGTATGTATATTCCCATTTTTATGTGTGTATGTATATATGTATATGTGTGTATATGTATATATATATGTATATATATATATATATATATATATGTATGGATGTGTTTGTGCGTATATATGTCTATATAGGTGAATTTACGTTTGTATGTTTTTTTATGTACATTCGTGTGTTTGTGTATGTGTTGGTATATATGTATGTCTGTGTGTTTAGTTTATATACGCATATGTATACATGCATATATGTATGTATGTTTTAGTATGTTTGTATATGTATGTGTATGTGTATATTTATATATATGTGTATTTGTATATATGTGTATGAATATATATTTATATTTGCTTTGTTTATTTTTTACGTCGCTGTGTGGGTTGATACATTTATACTTGCTTTTGTATGTGTATATATACTTATGTGTATGCGTATATATCTATGTAGGTATGTGTAGACATATATTTGTGTGTTTATGTGTATATATGTATGACTTTTAACTTTTATTTGTAGGTATTTCTTATTATCTTATTTTCTTTCACCTAATATATAATAAGGAATATATCGACTTACATGATTAAAATATATATTTTTATAGATGTTTCTGTGTTTGGAATTTTCGTTTTTTATATATTAGATACTCTTATTTTTAACCATTTTTTATCTTTGTACATTTGCCCGTATAAGTTATATTTTAATAAGTGGTTAGCATTCGTTTAATAACACTTTCATTCTTGAATATTTCTTGGTTGTTGTATCAGATTGTCTAGGTCAATGTATGTGGATGTGTGTACATGCATTTATCGGTGTCTATTTGTATGGAAAATGCATGCACATTTAATTGTGTATATATGTATGTGTTTTTTTTATAAAGGTCCGTGGAGATGTTTCCTGTCTCGTCATTTTTTTTGTGTGTGTATATATCTAAATATGTCTGGGTGCTTATGTATTATAATCTGAGTGTGTTTGTATTGTTTTACACGAGAGTTTAGGACCCCACTCACACACTTAGGATTAAAATGTATACATTTTGTCGGGTAGACCAGTCTACATTAGCGTCTATTCTAACGTAATTTCAATGAAGAAATAAATTGAATAATATATGTATTTTTTTTTTCTCTTCAGTAATTTTATAATTTTAAACTTAATAGAGATTAAATTTGGATTTTAAAATTGGTAATTTTTTACTTTTAATTTTAATATCAAATTTTATCATATAATTTAATACTTATTGGTTAGAATTAATTCTTTTTAAATATAACTTTATAGTTCTTAATAGCTATTATAACCTTACTTCGTTGTCAAGTTTTTTGAATTTTCCTATACTTGTGTTTTGATAGCTTTTGTAACACCGTTTTCCCCTTGCGAAGGATCGTTAATTAATTTGAAACTTTTAAAACCATTTATTTTATATTCAACATCATCACTTGATAAGACACCAGACGTGTTTAAACAAAATGGCTGTTTTTGTAGTGATTTTATAACATATTTATGTTATAAATTTTAAATAAATAATTATATCTGCTCTATTCTGTATTGAGCACTCTTTTAAGAATAGTAATTGTTGGTTATTGGAATTTATTCTGTATACACCAATAATATACTTGTATATATATATATATATATATATATATATATATATATATATATATATATATATATGGGGGGCACGTGTGTGTATTCTTCGTTTTTTCTTCTTCATCTTCTTTGCCGTGTCCCTTCAGGACGCAGATGTTCATTGACCTCCACAACTT